ATATATATATATATATATATATATATATATATATATCTCAAATATATATATATATATATATTTAAGAATTTAATTTCTTTTGGAGCTTTTTATTTCATATTTCTGAAAGCTAAACGACATTTTAGCCTACCACTTTCATCATGGTGGGCCTTCTAGGTAGTTTTGTGATATAAATGATATATTTCGCAGTAGACTGATCTTCATTTATTTTAAGCTCTTATAACCTTGCTTTTCATCTAGCTGGGAATTGAAAAGTACTTGCAATCGTCGGTTTGTGGGTTTTATGTTTACATTCTACTTTGTCCCATTCTTTTGTTTTCATTCTTTGTTTTTTTTTTTTTTTTTGTTTGCTGATGACTGCAGTATAAAGAGGGGAATATCCGGACATTTGGTCGGAACTTTATACAACAATGTAACAGAAGTTGCTAAAGTTAATACATTCGGAAGCACAAAGTAATTCATAGCACTCAGATAACAGTGTTAAAGCATGTCATTTTAACCTGTAAAACTTTCTATGAGTCCTGATAGTTATAGTGATAGATCGGGACAAAGATTACACATTGCCTGTTAGACTTATACGTCTGTCTGTGAAGTGCAATCCTACATACTTTGAGAATTGAAGGGAATGGAGCGGGTTTGAAATACGGTTGCGTGGAATTCATTACAACTGTTTGAAACAACTGTTTGAAATTCTCCTATCATGGTTTTGCATTTGGTTATTAATAATAGGAATTTCATGGCATGGTCCCTAAACTTCTACACTATCTTCCTATTTATTTCTTGAATCAAAAGTTTAGAAATGTGATTAAAACCAGCTGAGAGGTGGTAGGAATCTGCAATACCTTAACTTTTGGTTAAATTACAGATCAAAAGTTAGAATTAAACTAATAGTTTTCTAAGAGCAATAAATTCAGTCTTCATTGCAGTCCATTCCATTAGCTGCTCATTAGAGCATTTTCGTATAATTTACTCAATCTCACCGAAGATATCACTGTTAAATATTCACTTGCGTTGAGTCTGGCATAAGTGTCGTTTTCCCTTATGTAAATTAAAGCATCGTTTAGTTGAAGTTTTCACCTATTTTTATAAGTTTTATACTAAGTTATACTCATTTCCAGAAACGGTCCAGCAATCCGCAAAAATAAGAGTGACTTGAACAATGGCATCCATTTTAAACGATTTCTTCTATCATTTCAACATATTAAATATGCAAAAGTATGGATGTCACATTCTTATATGCGACATAAATTCCTGTCGATTCATCTACGAATCATAAGAATGACTTTGATTCAGAAGGTGACTGTAGAGACATGGATTCGTGCGGTTCTTGATTACGATCTCGAGTTGCTTCGACACTGGTAGCAGTCGGATTGGCGTATATTGTTGGCCGAGGTATTATCCCCACATTTGCTCCTGTTCCTACTGCTACTGAGCCGAGCAATGATCCACCGGTGGCAAGAAATGGACGTGTAATACTGCAAGTGTTTTCCGAGAGTCCAGTTTTAAAGTTTAAGATTTAAAAATAAATTACTGAGGAATTCAAAAAGCGGATAACCTCACTATTGTTTGCTTTCAATGCATTGAACATCCGAAGACTTCGTTACGCTGAATGCAATGCGCTAAATGCTGCACAGTTGAACAAGGGATTAAACCTTATGGCACTAATGTTACATTCGTTATATATTATCATACGGCTCTTTTTAACTGATTATCAAAGGTTAGTATTAATACTTAGCACGAATCTTCACCCAAGGTACCGCATAAAAACTTTGGAGAGAATTTCATTCAAACTCGTTGTTGTCAGCCACTATCATTGCATTACTTTTGGATGCCTATTTCATGCTTTGTTGAAAGATGGATGGATGATAGAAGAATTCAAATTTCAAATTCTTCGAAAATGCCTAACCTCGGATCACACAATTTAGGTATCAGAGATGACCTCCAAGCTTCATAACAAAATGGATTAAGAAAATATGCGGTAACATGATGATCGAAGAATGGCCAATGTAGAGATGCCATCTTCTGTCTTTTATCTTTCATACGACGATTTTGAAACCATACCTGGAAATGCATCCAAATCTAATTATTTTCCGGATGAAGATGACATTTGGTATATTTTGTAATGTTCTTTTATAATTAAATGAGTATTGGACAACAGTTTTAAAACTTCACTGTTCAGATTCTGTAGCAGAGATCCAAGGATTACTGAAGTGTTTTTTTTAACATACAAATAAAAGAAATAAATTGAATAAGAAATAAAGATGAAAGTGGGACAGAATTATCATGTAGGCAAGTTCCGAGCCGATGCTTTGAAGTTTTACTAATCGGATCATTACCTCAGTTGACGTTGCTATCCTTATCACTATATTAACACCAGTATTTTCATCTCTCCCTACACTCCTTCTAATTCCTGATACTCTGATCCTTCGCTAAAAGTTAATGAGATAATATCAGCACTTTGATGAACGCAATTCTTTGTCGTTATTACGAAACACCCGAGTAGCACATACTATCCTTTTTAGCAGATAGCTTTGAAATTCATTTTTCGAATTATTGATTCAAGAAATGAAAGTACCCGAAGAATCTCTCAGCTGAGTTTTGAGAATTAAATAAAGAAGAATTAGAATGAAGAAGATGAGAAGAAAAAGGGATTGATAACCATCTGAAAAAAACCCCTCTCAATTTGAGAGATATCAGCGGAAGTTTTGCAGATTCATTATTCATGAAGTTGAAGGTTTAAGCAGCTGCTCGTTGATCCTTCCTGATCAGGACTGCCTTGATTGTGGTCATCATTTGCATCATGACTGATTTATGAGTAAGATGCTTATGTCTTTCCGGCGAATATCTGTTTTCCTGATATTTAACGAAATGTCGTTTGTTGCTTTGATGGAATTTTGGTTTAAATATAACATGTTATCAAAGGGAATAAACTATTCTAATAAGTGGTGATAATTTAAAGCGAAGAATTAGTGAATGTTTTAGGATGCCTATAAAGTGAAAAGGATAGATAGTATTTTGATAAATTATCAATTTTGAGAGGGATGTGCACGAAATATTGGAGATTGTTCCGAAATATTTATAAATTTCATTTTCTTTCCCTCTCTTCTTCTTGCTTCTTTTTTTCCCTCTCTCTCACTTTTACCCTCGCTTTTCCTATGTCAGACCGGTCACGTGTCAGGAACAGCGATAACAAGAATGATGGCTTAAAATGACAAGGCAAGCAGTAGTCTCCGTAAGCAATTAAAATACGAAAAGTGCAGAAGATTGACTATAGAGTATTGAAATCTTTCAGAAACCAAATAAATTAGTTGCTAGGATTTAGGCTGTTTAACTGAAAGGCTTAGAAAAAAGGCATATGATTTCAATATCATTTAACTCAATTCATTTTGCTCTCGCAAAGCATTCTCTTACAAATTGACGTCTCATGGGGAATAATTCTAACTAAATCTACAGTAACTGCTTTTAGAAGTTGCTTAGTAAAATCGTTGGTTTCGCTGAAGTGACTTTAAGCAGTCCCATTAATCATGCATCATCCTGAATTATGAATGCCAAAAAATAAATAAAAACCTCGATTTTCATTTTCAAAAAGTTAAACTTTGATTCTAATTGTGCGACAGAACATACGAGTAGATGTTAAACTAATGCTTCGAGGAAATTAATAAGCATTATCATGATTATACTAATTGTACCGAACAAAAGCATTACACCGCAAGCATTATAGCTGGGTAACAAAAATACAGTGAATCCGAGACATTCGTTCAACAGCTATTAGCAGACAAGATATCACAAACTGTATAGAAGGCAGTGCTAGTTGTCGCAGAGGAGATTCACAGATGAAACAAATCACTGTGTTATTTCAATGAGCAATAAGCAATAATCAAATGACCAAAGCGATTGAAGATCCTGGTTTTCCCTTACCTTTATAGTACCCTCAGGTAAATTAAGTTGCGTCGCCAATTCACATCTTTTTGGTCGTGATACGTAATTCTCACGTGCGAATTCCTTTTCTAGTCGGCTAATCTGTTCACGGCTAAACGCTGTTCGATAGCGCCTCATTGCACCATCATCACGAGATTCTGCTGTAAATATGTTTATGTCGTTAGTATTTTTAAATTTAACAAGTGGTGAAATGAAATGAAACTTTGCATTTAAAGTAGTTGGAAACCGGAAATTAAATTTAAGTAGAATTACATCCAAGAGAACTAAGAGACTCATTAACGTAACCTAACTTTCACCTAATTTACTTGTTTGAAAGCTTCGCTTCACTGAAGTTACAGGAAAAAAGAAAAGCTTGAATAGCCCGGATTTATTCAGTGAAACAATCAAACCGAAGAAATCCGTGGACCATTAAGAAGCGATGGTAGTACTAAGAGTTTGCATCTTAAATAGGCTCTTAGGACGATTATTGTCTTCTCATTGCTAATTTTAATGAAGGTCGTCTCTTATCGCAAAACAATTAGTGCGATAAACGTCGAAGTTAAAGGTAATTGTGTCACTGTTGTGCGCGTAAACCACGGGATAGGTATGAGGAAAAGAAACACCATGACAAGGCGAGGAGCAATTGCACATTCGATAATTTCGTTATCGCTCCTTTGCGGTTCCTCTTCAACGAACTTTTTACGAGCACCGTTATTGTCATTTCAAGCAAAATGCACTCTCCCACTTCCAGACAAATTAGAGTATGGATACAATTGTTATCATACTGTAACAATCCCATTTAATCATATTTCATTCTATTCAATTCTGTTTTATTCCTGAGGCGTTAGAAATGGCTGTTGGGTCCATCCAAATATAATTATGTTATTGTTTCCATAACATTTATTATCAGGGTCATATAGCAATTATATCATTTTTACGACATGTAAATCTTATGTTTACTCATACCGCCATCCTGTACCATTTGTTCAGAAACCAATTATATCATCAAAAATTCTACAAGCAGTCTGGTCTGTTCTGTATTATTAGCCTATTCAAATTCCTTTTGTCTTGGATAGCTTCACACTTACTACTTATTCATTCCGAATAGGTAAGACAGAAACTGAATTTCACACATAATTCATGCCAAAAAAAAACATTAATCGTATAATATATATATAAACAGAAACAGAAATAAAAATGAATTAAATAAAATTAAAAAATATCAAAATAAAAGCGAAAATATCGACAAGAGGCGAAAAAAAAAATTGCGAAAGCAATTCCAACTTAAAATACTAATGCAGCATATGGCTCTTGAAAGAATATGTGGTCAATGTTAGACGCTGGCATGAATAGGTGAAAAGACGAAAATGGAAATTATAATCAGGCGATACACTTACCGTATTTCCATGTCTGGTTGTAAATGAGAGAGTTGCCAATCCAACACCAGAAAATGATGCATAACGTTTCAAATAACTACAGATAAAATGGATACAAATTTCACAAATTTAAAAGTTCAGATTGCCAGAAGATTTTTGACTATTATTACAGGGATGGAGAAGGTATAAAAGCAATTAATATCATATCATGGCACATTTTTGGAAATATCTTGATAAAGAAATAAAAAAACAATGGTGAGAATAAAAAGCAATAATGAATTAGTTCTAAATTTACAATTTCTTAATTACTCCCACACTACCAATTTTTAGCAGCAAAGTGTCATACAAAGTTATTTTAAATGAATGCGATTATATTATATCCAAGATCCCAAAAGTGCGAATTAGTATTTCAATCTAAAACTTGGAAGTCAGTAATTCAAAATAATATTTTGAATTGTTATAAAGGATGAGTTAAACAAATATATTTTTCATCACTTCAATTTTTAATTATTCTTTCAAATAAATCTCTTGTAGCAGCCAACTTATATCCTATCTATTGGAGATTTCTCTGTTCCGTACTAAAGTATCATGACAGCAGACTCCCGAAGGAGACTGACGATTTATCTTAATCTAGAACTATCTATCAGTTGGCAAAACTCACTTTCGTCCTCTTCATTTTTGCATAATATTAAATAGATAACACATCGTATAAGTAGAAATGGATATAAGTCACTACTTGATAAGATCTCGAAATGATGAATTCATAGAATCAAGCAATAACAGGACTGATTGAATTTGAAATTCAAATTTTAAAGAGTACACTGTAAAGAGGTCAGCTGATGCTCCCTCTCTTCCCATTCTCTCATTAAATCTCTTTCTTTTACATCCATTGCTTTTAACCCGCCTGGCATTTGCACTAATTAGTCTTACCCTTCCAATACCTAATTTATTATTCCAGTCGGTTAAATTGATGATTTCTTTGTTTCCACTAACAATATCATACATCCATATATATATGGATTGATGGATATCGCTGTAATAACCAAAAACATCCGCCACTGGTTGAATCACTTCGGCGAGTTCCTTTTCACAGAATCATTCCTCTCTCTCTCTCTCTCTCTCCTGATAGTTCTGTACGTTCTAGGTTTTCTTTTACCTTCACAAACTAACTTTA